TTCCCCTCCAATAAATTTTAGCGAACAGATAAAGCACGTATGTAAGTGCTTCAATTCTATTGAATTGTGAATGATCACCCGTTATGCATAACACTAACAAAAGATGAATCATCTATACTAGTAAATTTCCTTGTCTCTTTTTTTTCCTTTCATTATAATTACAGATACGTGTTCAATAAATTGTGTGCATGTACCATGTGTATCTTCATTCTGGAATAACAACTTTTTGTTGCGACCAATCTCTATAAATGGAATGTATTGCTGATTAGTTATTTAGTTTTACTATTGCTGTAGAATCAGAGTGCATCAGTAGAAGAGACGATGACTCGGCTAAGCTTTATTGTGACGATCGTCGCCGTTGCATTGGTATGTGTATTCGCGCAGGAGCTTTACTCGGATCGATATGATGACGTCGATCTCGATGGAATTTTGGCAAACGAAAAACTGCGAATACAATATTACAACTGCTTTATGGACACTTCACCATGCAAGACCGCCGATGCTAAATTCTTTAAAGGTATTTTTACGCACATAGTGCCGCCCTACGTTTATGTATTATTTTTTGCTATTTTTTGACCAATTTGGAATCGATTTTCCTTAACGTAACTGACATACTTGTAGCTTTTAAGTAATTAGTGACTGCATGACTAATGAAGTATCTATGATGAATCGAATCAGGAACAAAAGTAACGTTCTAATTTCATATGATTTTAGCAGAATTTTAATTAAAAAATTTTGATTTACAATAAAAAATCTTTTCTCATCTATAAACTTAAAAACTGGGAAGAGTTGATACAATTGCATTAATCTTATTCTTTAAACTGGTAAAAAAAACTAAGAAAAAAATTAGTAAAAATCAGATTTAAGAAAGATTTGCTGTTAAAAACTGGAACTTTCTTTTAACGTGTCAGGTGTGTACATACATACCTTGTACGTATACACAAGATTATAAAGAGTCTTAACTATGAGATTTGCATGCATATCGAAGTCATATTTAGAATGTGTATGTATTTCACGTTTAAATATTCACATATCACAACTGTTGATTATTTGAGAAAGAACTTGTATGTCTAAATGAAAGTTGTCTTTAATAAAACATTTTTCACATTATAGAGTATAGCATTTACAGATAAAAATACATAACATGATATCAATCTGGATGAGCTGTATGATAGTTTACAAAGTCTTATTTAAACGGATCAATACGTCTTACGCTAACTTCTCTGTCATTGTTTCTTCTCTTAAGAAATTACGTAATTACTACGTCTAATATTAGAATGTATGTGTTATATTATTGGTTAAGTTAAAATAAGTACAAATCCTGATGGTTTCTTAGCCGTCTTTCGAAGCACCTTCGATTGACACATCACTTGCATTATATCAAATAAATTTTCATAAAAAAACAGTTGTCCACTTCATATCATTAAAACATTGCGTCTTATCTCGCATGTAAGAATGCAGAGATATTTAAATATGAAGTAGACGTCTCAAATAAGCGGACAAATTTACGACTGGTTCTAAGACACTTGTGACCCCGTCATATTCCAGTAAATACTAACAATAAGAGTAACAGTTACATAATATCAATATTATAAACAAGAGGAATATATGTATACTTAAGGAATATATACTAAGTAGAGGAAAATATATTTAAAAGTCACTAGTGATGAATAAAAATTGAAGTAAAACTTCTTGTTGATTCAACTGGTAATATAATTAATTAAATGTTACATTGGTACAATATAACATCTACATAGGTACCAATGTAACATTCAATTAATTGTATTACCAGTTGGATCAACAAGATGTTTTATTTCAATCAATATTATAATTTCCTACTGAACAATGTAAATGTAATATAACAGGCATGTTATATTACATTTATAATACATTGAGTAAGAAATTTTAATATTGACGTTATGTAAATGTTACTTGACTTTCACTGGGATATAATATATACATATAAGAAAATGTTGTCCGTACATCAGGAAAGAATGTTTGTGTAATTCTTACGTAACAGTTTTGCTATGATAATATGCTGGAAATAAAATGTTTTAGTAAGAAATTCAATTTGCTTCAACAAGTTCTACAAACAGACCTTCTACGAATAAGTGTTTTAGATAATAGAAACGTTTTATATTAGATGTTTTATAGCTGCAGTTAGCACAGGTTTATGAGAATAATAACGTATATTTTCTGAGAATCGGTTTGAAGATTCCCCTCGATTTTGCTATGATTTACGAATAAAAGATTTCTTAAAAATATATATAGGACGGACAAAAAAAATGATAGACTTCAATCCTCTATTGAAATGCCTACAATTTTCCAGATAGCTATGTATGTCTAAAAGACAACTTGATGCAGTCTTAAAGAAATTTTAGACATACATGCTATCTGGATTGCAGCAATACTGAAATATATTGTATACGTTTAATCTGATTTTTCAAATATGCTACTTTTTTTCTAATCTTTTTATTTTCACGGACTTTGTATAACTTTTTATGTTTTATGTTAAAACGGATAAATATCAAGCTTTCTCATTCTGGTTTTAGGGATTGCAGGTGAAGCTATGCAGTCTCAATGCAGGAGATGCACCGAAAAACAAAAAGAAATTTTGAACCGTG